CAAATTGAAGCAGCATCTCTTTAAGCACTTCCAGACTAAAGACCTTGGCAGATTGAAGTATTTTCTAGGTATTGAGGTTGCTCAGTCTAGATCAGGTATTGTTATTTCTCAACGCAAGTATGCCTTAGACATTCTTGAGGAGACGGGAATGATGGGATGTAGACCTATTGACACTCCTATGGATCCGAATGTTAAGCTCCTTCCGGGACAGGGGGAGCCACTTAGTAATCCTGAAAGGTATAGACGACTCGTTGGAAAATTGAATTATCTCACAGTAACTAGACCTGACATCTCTTTTCCTGTGAGTGTTGTAAGTCAGTTTATGACTTCCCCTTGTAATAGTCATTGGGATGCAGTTGTTCAATCCTGCGATATATAAAGTCAGCTCCTGGTAAAGGACTACTCTATGAGGATCAAGGCCATGAGCATATCACTGGATATACAGACGCTGATTGGGCAGGATCACCCTCTGATAGACGTTCGACACCCGAATATTTTGTTTTAGTAGGAGGTAATTTGGTGTCGTGGAAAAGTAAGAAACAAAGTGTGGTTGCTCGATCTAGTGCAGAATCAGAATATCGAGCAATGGCGACAGCAACTTGTGAGCTAGTTTGGATCAAACAGTTGCTGGGAGAACTAAAATTTGGCGAAATTGATCAGATGGAACTTGTGTGTGACAATCAAGCAGCTCTTCATATCGCATCAAATCCAGTGTTTCATGAAAGGACTAAGCACATTGAGATTGACTGTCACTTTGTCAGAGAAAAGATACTCTCAGGAGATATTGTTACGAAATTTGTGAAGTCAAATGATCAACTTGCAGATATCTTCACCAAGTCCCTCACAAGTCTTCGTATTAATTACATCTGTAACAAGCTAGGTACATATGATTTGTATGCACCAGCTTGAGGGGGAGTGTTAGAATAGAAATATGTATATATTCCTACTTAGAATAGGAAGAAGAATAGGAATAGGAATCCTAGTTAGAAAAGGATTTCAATGTATATGTATTGTCTATAAATAGGGTCTCAATGTAACAATTTAGATACACAATTCAATATTATTTTTCCCATATATTTCTCACAAAAAACAAGAGGAAATTTCCTTGTGTGAAACATGCATTGACTTTATGGATGCTTCAACTATTTCTTTACTCACATTTTCATCACCATGTTATGGAACCATACAAGAAAGCTGAACTTAGCCATAACCACGAGCTTATGTTGGGCCGTAAGATCCAGTCATTGCATAAACCTCTATCACATTTTCTAAGGAGCAAAGAATCTAGCTGAGTCTTAGCCACCACACTACAAAAGGTCCTCCCTCTTCTAGAAACTGATCATCTCAATAGCTTTTGCGAAGTTTAAAAGAAAACTCCTCCATTTCTATCCCTAAGGCGGAAAGTGCCTTGTACATGATACATCATCATATCCTCTCGAAGTGGTCCCTATGTGACTTCTTAAATCCCCTCATAAAATTAGTTTCTCAGCACGCGGGATAACTCTCACAACCTAGTCTTACTCCTCCTAGAACAAACAAGTTTTTTTTTACCTCCTCGTCCAAACCTGTTTGTTGCACATATGCACTCGTTACGTTAATAATTATCCCTCCCAAAACTAGCTTAATGAACATTAACTTATCATCTACCCTCCTAATTTCTACCGCTTGCTCCTTGAGTTCCTAGTCTACTAATAGCCTACTCTAGTTCTACTCCTCGATATTCTTTAGCACCATAACTTAAATCCATGTATATCCTCTTTATAAGAATCTTCACTAACTGTATCGATTTCCTTGTCAATATCCCTATGTTTCAAGATCCAACTCTCAAACCTAGGATCTCCCTGGTACCCTCACCACCCCTGTCCCCCGCCCCCGCTGCCAATCAAGTACATGACCATAAACTACATCAAACCCTGAAGCCACTAACGCCAGTTAGAGAGTTATCAAGTGTGCAATAAACAATAAAAAATGGGCAACCCATAACGACAAATACCCTGAATCTTAACATTGATAGTCACGCAATACAATGACTAAAATAAATAGAAGTAATAAACTATAGAAAAGATATTGTTCAAAGTAGGAACCAAAAAATGCAGTAGTATTTATAACGGCGCAGCAATAAATTCACAAACGCGATATCAGATTAAAGAAATCAGTAAACAAGCAAGCAACATCAGGGGCTGCGCAATCTGTTAAAGAAAAATCAGATTAAGACAAACGAATCTAGGATTTCTACATGGGTGCACCACTAAAAAAAGAAGGAAAAAATGTATTGAGTGGGAAGTGATACTAGGTCCTCTAAGTAAATAACCAAATATTTAATTAAGTGCACCATTTAGGCTTTTTGTAGCATGGGTGCCAACATATAATATTATTGGGAGGAGGCTAGGAACATTTTTCGGTTATGATGGGGTTGCACTAGAGATCGACCCTTAGCCTGTTCCTTTTTGCCTTAGTGATGGATGAATTGACACGATATATTCAATGAAAGGTATTGTGGTTTTTGCCATTCGCAGATGACATAGTATAGAATAACGAGACACGCGGTGGAGTTAACGAAAAACTGGAAGTTTTGAGACGGATCTTAGAGACTAAAGTTTTCAGGTTAAGCAAAACTAAGACAAAGTATTTCGCGTGTAACTTCAATGACGTAACACTTGAGGAAGAGGTGGAAGTGAGGAACGACTCACAAATCCTATCCAAGACCAAGAGAGGAAACTTCAAGTATCTTGGGTCCATAATTATAGGTTTATGATGTCGCACATCATATTGGAGTAGGGTGGGTACTTTGCGATAAAAATGTGTTGCCTTGGCTTAAAGGTATGTTCCATAAAGTGGTGGTTAGACCTACATTGTTGTATGGGGTAAGGGGTTGTTCATGCTTGTGGTGCATGTAAAAACCCTAGGGAGTGGTGAAGAGTGGTGTTTTGGGGGGTACATCATCTAGAAAGTAAGGACGATGGTTGTCAAAAGATTAAATAATTAGGAACTAAATGTGCATGGATGGTAGGGATTGGGGACCAAATCCACAATTTATCCTAAATGACCTCAGTTCCTGTTTAATGGCAGCTGTACTGAAAATTAATTAACATTTTGCGAGAGAGATGAGAAATTAATGTACTCTATGTTTTATTTTTAACAGATGCACCATTTTATGGAAATTTGGGTATTTAGTGTTTATACATGTGAGTTTTCAAAATTTATTTGCTGAACATCAGGTAAATAAATTTAAAGCATAACTGAATCAAGTATCCTGTAAAGCATGAGATTATTGATAAACATAAAAGATGGGATATAGGCGGTGAATAGAACTTACGCTTGATGGCACAATGGAGACATGGACCTTGTCTACCCATAAGATCTGATTATGAATGATTCAGTTCAAATCAGGTTGAATTTGCTGCTGCTAACTGTTGGAGTTCGATGTGCTCTCAAAATCTAAAATGTCTGAGTGAGGTGATGGGTCACAGTATATATAGACAAATAAGAATTTGGTAGACTACATCTGGTCCTTTTATGTAAATAGATGAATTATGATGGATTTGTCATTAACTTCAATTTCTTTCCAATAATGTTTTTTTACATCCATTTCCCCTTGCACTAGTGCAATAATCAAATCGACTGTTTTGCCTAAATATAAGATGGTCTCATTATTACTCTGCAGGTGAGAGTTGAAGTCCATACAGGTGGCTCCGTGATTGATAATTGGATGAATTTCTTATTTGGTAAGTATGCCTGAACTTGTGAATTAAATTAAGAAGATACAGGTATTAACATAGAGCTGGCTATTTACTTGGAAATATTCTTTAAGACTTTGGCTCCTTGATTTCTGATATTCTGGTGCACCCGAAAACCACTGTACTGTGCGGTTTGCAAAAGCTCAAGCATCTTAAGGCAATGTTGCCCTAGTAAAAAAGGATTTTAAAAAGAACAAACCACGTTTGTTTGACTATCTGGACAAAATTGTTTTCTAGAAGAACAAACAAACATTTTCAAAAGAAAACAAAACAAAAAAAACTTTTTGTCGGTTTTGTTTTACTCAAACCAAAAATGAACCAACTTCTACATTAGTCCCCAAATTCTGAATATTATCAATTTGACCCTCTTCTCGTAAATGAATTTATTGTTTCATAACCTTCTTTTCCAGAAAGAAATGAAAAGAAAATCAGTATCCAATAATTTCCCAATAGACTGTTTGAACACACCTTAGTTAGTTGCCAAATCATGGATGTTCTCATGTTTTTCTTGGCAGTTTTAATGTCAATTTAAGAGGTCCTTATCTCAACATTAATTCTGAAAACTAGACTCATAATTTTTTGGTAAGATGATATTGACTCATCTTAAAAGGATTTCCTTGTTCTTGAAATGCAGATATCCTATTATGGTCTTAGCAACCGTTTTATTGTTTAATCGACTTGGTTATGAATGTTTCCTTTCTTAGGTGAGAGTTTCCCTGCTACTGAGATGCAGCAACGACATTTATTTTTTCCATCTTACCATGCTTGCACATTTATGTGTCACCATTGACAGAATAAACTGTATTTACCATATGGATTGTTCTTTATTTCGTGCTTTTTAAGTTTTACCATACTTGTGCATTTTTATGTTGACATTGACAGAATTTCGTGTATCACATGGATTTTTTTTGTCATGCTTTTTCCATCTTACCATGCTTGCGCATTTATGTCCCATTGACAAAATTTCGTGTATCCTAGCCATATGGAGTTTTCTTTATGTCATGCTTACTGACTTCCAAATAACAACCACTATTTATGCCTCACTTCAAGCAAGTTGGGGCGACTCTATGAATCTTCGTTATCTTCCTTCATTAAAGATCATCTCATTATGCTTAGTGATGTAAAAATATTTATTTCCTATTTAAGATTACTAATGTATTACACATGCATAGAAGCGAGGGTTTTTACCTGCGCGCACCCAAAGGGTTGCGGCTGCGAGTTTTCCTTGTCATGAAAAAAATGTATTACACTTGCATATTACATAATATATAGAATATCACTATAACTTTTGAACGCTTGTATGTAGAATTAGGGGAAAAAACAAGGAAGAAATTGTACAAGCTAGCCAAGGCGATGGAGAGGAGGGCACGTGACCTGGACCAAGTGACGTGCATCAAGGACGAGGTCGACGAAGTATTGGTTTAGGAAACACTCATTAGACGAAGTTGATAGTCATACTTCTATTTACTCTTGAATGAACCGGAGGACATTCTGGTGGGAGATATAGTGCACTCCGAGAGGTTTCACGATTTTGGGTATTGTAGGTGTATAAAGGTTGAAAAGGTTAAGGATGCTATTCGTAGGATTCACAAGGAAGAGCGAACGGTACTGATGAGATTCCGATGGAATTTTGGAAGACGGTGGGTAGGACATGTATGGAGTCTTTGGCTAGGTTGTTTAATATTGTTTTTAAGACCGTGAAAAAGGCAAAAGAATGGATGTGAAGTACAATGATCCATTTGTACAAGAACAAAGGTGACATTTCTTAATTGCAACAACTATAGGGGCATCAAGATCCTAAGCTACATTATGAAAGTTTGGGAGATGGTGGTAAAGATGAAGGTTAGGAGGGGTATGTTTATTTTCGAGAATCAATATAGATTCATGTAAGGGCGCTTGACTACAAAAGTCATTCATCTTTTAAAGAGATTGGTGGAGCTGTATAGAGAGCGGAAAAGGACTTGCACTTGGTGTTCATTTACCTAGAAAATGCTTACGACAAAGTCCCAAAAGAGGTCTTATGGAGATGCTTGGAGGCTAGAATCTTACCTGTGTTGTATGATCAAGTAGATTTATGTTGGAACTAAGATAAGGATAAGGACATAGAGAGGAGACTGAGAGAACTTTCCAATTGTGATGGGGTTGCACGAGGGATTAACTTTTAGCTTGTTTTTATTTGCTTTGGTGATTGATGAATTGACATGGTACTAAGGTGAGGTGCCATGGTGTATGTTATATGTGGATGACATAATTCTAATTGACGAGACTCACGTAGGAGTTAACGCTGAGCTATAGGTTTGGAGACAAACTGCAGAGTTTAAAGGGTTCAGGTTGAGCATGATCAAGACATAATACTTTGAGTCCAAGTTTATTGACGTAACCATGAGACTCACATGGAAGTGAGGCTTGATACCAGGACATCCAAAAGAGAGGAAGTACCAAGTATCTTGGGTCTATTATCTAAAGATACATGAATGATATCACACATCGTATTGTTGCAAAGTGGATGAAATAGAGGTTCGCTTTTGAAGTTTTGTGTGATTAAGAGAAGGTGCCACCAAAACTTAAAGGCATGTTCTATAGAGTTTGACCAACTTTGTTGTATGGGGCGGAATGTTCGACAAGGTGGAGATAGCCTCTATCGCTTTTCTTCCCCGAAGCCAGGCATAGAAGAAAAAAGTGTGCGTTTATACTACTGAAGCGAGAAGAGAGAAAGGAACGAAAGGCGCGTATTAGCGAGTTCGACTGCTGCGACGGGTTTTATATTAAAATTTTGTTAAACATACTCATGCGACTTCTCTTCCTAAATATCTGCTTAGAGTTCGACTGCTAGGAGCCTGCGATTTCTCTTCACGGTAAGTTCTTCTCTTCTTATCTTTTTTTCTATCTTCTCCTCTTCTTCTTATCTCTATTTTCTCTGTTGCTACTCAACTGCACTGCTGGTGCTGGGTCATTCTTTTTTCTCTTCTCTATTATTTTCTTTAGTTTGCTCTGTTTTTTTCTCTATTCATCAAGAAAAGAAAAATATGTTTTGTAATTTCTTTGTCTGTTCTAACAAATAATAAATGCCATATTCCACAAATTCTAGAAAGAAATAGGGAAAAAGAGAATTCAAGAGGCCCATAAGTATCAAAATAAAGATAAATACGAGTGTACTAACTTGATATTTTGGTATTATTGTAACAAAGGAGCTTCCAGAGTCTCATTGTGCAAACTTTTTCTGCTTTGTAATGTTTTTCGCTGTATTTTTCTCTGTTTTGGTTTACTTTTACTTTTTTTCTGTTTAGTGATGTTTTTGATTATTTATCTATGCAAATTCAATTTTTTTTTTTTAACATTGTATTAATTTGGTTATGACTCTCTTGCATAATTGATATAGAATTTGGTTATAAACTTCACTACTGCTGAGAGGAAATGTAACACATGGTGTCTGAGAGACTTTGCACTTGTGAGTTGTAATGATTTCAGTTCATATGTCAAACTTGTTCTGAGTAGTGCATTATTGGTCTTGCTGCTTTAAAGGTTTTCACACACATCATGTTTTTTTATCTGGTACTGGAGTATGTTTGAAGCTTATTAATGACTAAATGGTGAACTTCTTTGTCTGTCTTCAGATGCAGGTTCTCTCAATCAAATAATTGACATTGGCTACGATTTGGATGGTCTCCCCGGCTCAATGGAAAGACAACCCCTTTCTATACGTCATAAAATCATGCCTTTCCTCCAAATACCATTTGCGCAAGTCAAACTCATGATAGGCGAGCAAAATCACATGCATATGGTTTAGCGGTTTGCTGTGCTCTGTGTTCTTATTCTTCTCCAACACCCTATGTGTCATGCTTCTTTAGCTTAGTAGGACTTTAAACACGCTATTGTGTGAAAGAAACACACATGTTCTGGCTTAGCCTCTGTCTCTTTGTAATGATTTAACAAAGTGACCATACCTATTAGTCTTGAACCATCAATTAAGCAATTTCTCTAGTATTTAATAAGAAAGGGACTTGGATATTTGTTGTTTAATTTTATATCGAGAAGTATTTGATTTTCATCTTGATAACATCTTATATGAGCAAATTAATGATTAATATATAGTGGCATATTGATTCAAGAAACATTAAGCACAGTAAGTAACCAACAAAAAATGCACATTTTCAGGGGGATTGTATCTTTTTATTTTCACTTTTTCTCTCTCTTTGAGTAAATTAGGATATTGCTTTGGACTGATTTTTCTTGAGTCAGGGTTTATCGAAACTAATCCTTTTATATTTAAGCTAAGGTCTACATATATTATATCCTCTCCAGACTCTCTTTATGGAATTGGTATGTTGTTGTTTTGATAAAATTAGGGGTAGGAGAAAGGGAAATGGAATTAGGTGATTACAAGGTGGGAAATTGAATCCTGCCAATAAGGTGAATGTTTAGGAAGCCAACTAACAGAGTTATTATTCTCCTATATTTAACACCTTAATCTTTAATAAAAGGAAAATTATACCTTATTTAGCTTTTGAATGGAACATAATTCCCTTGATTGACATTAGTTTTAATACCATATAAAATGGTTAAGAACATATATTAAGTATCATATTTTTATAAGGTTCATAATTGAACTGTTAGATGTACAACTTTTATAAATGAATCATCATTAAATGTTTATCGAAAAACACCTCGATGTTGAGGAGATTAAATATTTGCATCAAATCATTTCTAGGCGTTTGATTATTTTCCTATAAAATTTCATCCAGCTCAGCACATGTAATAACTATATGAGCTGATTCATTAACCTTTTAAAATTGTTTTTTTTTCCCACCAATTCCTTTAATTTGCTAAGCTCTCTCCTTCTTTGTCATTTTCAATTATTTTTCTTCATTTATTCTTTTTGTTGCATATTTTCTCCTCGTCTTCATCCTTCTTCATTTATCAATATCTATTTTTTTCTTTGAATCTACAGAAGGATCTTCGATGAAAATAATCGATGTCATTATAATCAATCCAAATTCAATGGAGAATCATGATAGGAATTCATTTTTTAAAATAATGATCCGTAGTTTTATCTAGAAATACTAATCCTTTTTAAATAATTTATTCAAACTTTATCATGGTAAAATTATTTATCGGTATGAAATGTCCCTTATACTTTTTAAACAGAAACAAGGGTGGTTTGATAAATGGAAAAAATGAGAAATACACTCTCGAATTATCGGAAATGGTATGTTTATATCCTTTGTTATACTTTTAGTACATCAATGTCCTTACCATCCAAATTTTGGAGTGTTTATACCATTTATAATAACGGTGATACACGTATCTTAATTCTATCATCGATTCCAATTTATTAAATTTCTACCAAAATTTAAAAGCCCCACCTCATTTAATTTTTTAAAAACCCACCCAAATACATAATATCCACACCCAAAAATATAATCCAAAACCTCCAAATCCATTCACTCCCAAAATCCTAGTTTCTTCTCCTTCTTCTCTGATGTTTGTCGGCCTAAGTAGGAGCATATTGCATACAACTTATGCATTTATGAAATTAATAATGATCCATAGTTTCATCTAGAAATATTAACCCTTTTAATCGAAGAATTTATTCAAATTTGATCGTAGTAAAATCATTTATCTGCATGAAATGTCCCTTATAAGTTTTAAACAAAAAACAAGGGTGGTTTGATAAATTGCATAAGAACATAGAATCTGTGTATTAATAATATTATATGTATTAGTTATACAACCTATAATACTAAATATGATGTATTAATTATTAGGAAAAATTACGCGGTTAAACAAACTTATACTAGTTAATTAGTCATTATAGCTATAGTTTATTTTAAATACCATTCGCCAACAAATTTCGGTTACAATTACGTTGCCGACTTTTTCTATCTGTATAAGCGTGTGTATGCCGTCCCTTTTCATATATAGAAATGATTCCTTCTCTTTCTTCATAATCCTTTACCTTATTTTCTCCTTAAATTCCTTAACATAAATTGATTTCAAAATTTGAAAATTTCAATTATTCTCTCTTAAATCGTGCTTCCTGATTTTTAGGGCAACTCTTATACGGTTTAAGTTTTTTTTTTAGATGGTTCCATTTTTTTTTAAAATTTGTATTTGTATATGACTGCAATTTCGTGTGATTTTTCAGATTTATAGTTAGATGCAATTAAAATTATGGATAAAGAAACATCCAAAATAGCTATGAGAGATCCTAAGACAAATATACAAGTATAAATCAGTTGTGAATTATACATATACAAATATTTAAATACAAATCAATTGTCACTATTCCTTTCATACAATTACAGTAAAAAAATAGCTCATTGATACAAAAAATAATTTCATAGAAAAATAAGTTATCAATCAATTATAAATATACAAATACTAAATCCACAAAAAATAGAATTATGTGAATTATACATATACAAAATATACAAATATAAATCAATTGTCACTTCTCATTTTATACGATTACAAATATAAATAGCTAATTTATAAATACACTAATTCCACATAATCTCATTTTATATATTGACACAAAATCGTAACAAATAAAGAATTAAACCATACTATAACTAATTGAATATTGGAATAGTGGAGAAAATAAATAAGTGTAGTAATATTAGCACATGCGTGTTTTTAAAGCCTTCACTATATACATGTTTCCATTAGAGGGATTTGAGGAAGATGAGTAGCCCAACGTCTATTTTCATGGCTTTTTGGAGCTAAAGGCGATGAGGAGCCCTCTTGCCGTAACTCTCTTCCTTCTCCTCCTCGTTTTTTTGTAATGTAATGCCATTACGTTGACATATTGAAATTGTTATTGCAACTAATTGAAAATTTATCAAAGATTCAATATTCAAATAATTTTCTCGCCCCTTTTCTTTCTAATCGGTACTTTATTCAATATTCAGTATGCAAGAATTTTGTTTTTAGACAATTTAGGAGAACCCAAGAACTCCCCCATATAAATATGTCAAATAGAAATTTCCAATCCTAGCAAGAATGTCACTGCAATTATCTTTTGATAGTAGTATTTGGTCAGTGTTTATTTGATGGTTTGGACTTTGGAGTATGCTTAGTTCTTTATTTGAGGATGCAGCTATTAGGTTGTGAATAAAACCTATTTGGGGTAACAATAATTTGCTGCTTTCTTGGTTAAAAAAAGGGTTTTAAAAGGAGTAATCTTTTTATTGGATTGTTATTTTGGGAAAACTGGTCTAAATATTATTTGTGTTGTTTTACTCACACTTGGTAGCAGTTGAAATGTGAAGGTTTAACGAGTATGGCGTTTTACTGATATATTGAATATTAAAGATAGATAACAATTAGTGAATAGAGTAGGAGTTGAGATATTCGTGGGAACAAATGAGTAGAATTTCCAAGAATCTTTTCCGCCATTCCACAGCTAACCTAAGTATCATTTTGCTTCCCAGAGTAGCAGGCAAGTGTGGCTTTTGAATTTGGACAGAAAAATGACTAATTTATTTCAGATATTCCAAACTTTGTTTCGAATATTCCAGAAAATTTCTAGAAGAATATGAGCAAACCCATGAACTAGATGGGAAAACGTAATTCTAATATGGTACGAAACAGAAGATCACGTGTTATACATATACAAACTCAGTTTGCTGCATGGTTAACAGATTGTATCATTGGAAAAACAAAGAGTAAGAATGTTTAGGCAATAATAGGAAGTGCTACAGAGAGAGCAACTAACTTTGCGTTTGGAAGGAAAGAAATTAGAAAATTGCAAACGCCCAAGCAAGAGACAACTGGACATGTCCATGTTGTTTCGGGTGGAGATCTTATCCCTCAAAATGTCCACTAATAATGTCAAGAACTATGGGATACATTCAGAGATATGTTTGATGGGAATCTATATGCGAGGATTGATCCATTTTTCTTTCCACCCTCATTTCCAGTAGTTTCACTTTGCATAGCCACATGATCCAGTATATTATTGTTTATCCTGAAACAAAGTATAATGCAAGACAGTACAGTTGTAATGACACGCATATGTAAGTCAAATGCCCTTTGAGATGTCACAATGTAATTCTACAATGGGGTCCAGAAAAACTAACAAACTTGTAGGTAAGCACACAGTGATAGACATCGGAATTGACATATTAAATGCACCTCAAAAGTTGAATTTGACATATCTAATTCATGGAAATTCCATCCAATAAAACGGAACCATCCCCGGACCCTGCACATAGCGGGAGCTTAGTGCACCGAGCTTCCCTATTGAATCTTATGCATGCATCTCAAAATTCACTTATTGATATGGATTTTTTACAGGAACTTTCTTTGAGCAAGAGGCGTTATCTTCTGCTATTGGAGGTAGAGACGTCGAGCATTCTGTAGTAGTAGTTGGTGATACGAGCAGCATAGCTCCAAGACCTATCTCATTAGGAGGAATGTATTTGTTCCTTGCTTAAATTAGAGTAACATCTTCACCACCGTTTCGTATATTTTCAAATTCTGGTTCCTGTAGAATGTTATAAAGTTGCCTCTGGAGTCTTTCGACACGTGACAAAATGCGTTGTGTAAGCTTTGATCTCTTTCTTTTTGGGACACTGTTAGGATTCCAGAAAGGATCCTTATCTGCTTTCTCCCAACAAAAGGTAAATGTTAGTGCACATAAAACAATGAGGTACTAATACAATAGTTTTTATTTTTATTTTGGTCAAGCTAATATATTTTGTATGATTAAGGTATAGTTGGACTGGTCAGTTCATATCTTTATTGAAAATCCAAATTACCAGAAATTTGTCAATTTAAGTTTATTGTATAAAGGGAAGTTAGTTCTCAAAATTTAGGGGAGACGCTATAATTAATGGCCTACGAGCAAGAAAGAAACCAAAGATTGTGCTTGTAGAGTATCATATAGTAATTACATCCCTACGGCTTATTTGTTAAAATCTTGAATGTGATTTGACATTACATAATTTGAAAGGCACATCACAGTAATCGGAAAACGGCAAGAATTTCCTGCATAAAAATAAATCCAAGTGTCGTGATTCTTTTGAGTATTAGTTACCACATAAAACAACC